GTATTTTTTTTTTCAATTGTTATTTTTAAAATATCCATAATTTTCTAAATATTGATCAATTCTAAATTTTACTTTTTAATTAATAAATATGTTTTTGTTTTGTGAAATATTTTATATAACCTCTTATAATTTTTTAATTTTACTACATATATAATATTTATAATGTAAATAGTATCTAACAATAAAACTAAATAAATTAAATATATAACAATAAGTATAGAGAGTCGTTAAAAAAATATTACTTAGCAAATAAAAAACAAAAAAAATTTATATAATATAAATGTTTTAAAATTATTTCAACTTTGTAATACTTTTTAATTAGAAGTTTATAAACTTTTTATATTTTTAATATAACACTTTAAACTAGCATTTAACGAAAATATTTTAAAATTTTATAGAAACAATATTACATTGTCATACAAAATCTGTAAAACACTTTAAAAATGTTGTAAAAGAAAGTTTAGAAATAACTGTATGAAAGTTATAAAAAAATTGTATGAAAATGTAAAAAAAATGTTAAAAACTTGTAAGAAAATTTTAAAACATTTATAAAATATTTGGTTTAAAAGCACTTATATTAAAATTATATGTAAGTATAAAAAAAAATTAAAAAGTTATAAGCAAAGTTTAAAACATTATATTAGAAAAACTTATAGGAAAAAAAATATCATAAAAATATTGTAAGAAATTATAAAAAGTCTTAAGAAATTTATAGTGTACACACACACACATTTAGACATCTTTTTTTTTTGTACATATTTGATCATTTAGCTTGTTAAATGTATTCACATATTACTATTATCATCTGCTATAGCAGGTAACAATATTAATAAGTGAACACATTTAACAAGTTTAATGATCAAATATGTACATAAAAAAATGTCTAAACGTGAATAAGATGAAAAAGTAATTACCCTCGCAAGTCATTTCACCTTTAAGTAATTGGTAATATATGTTAACACGTTTAACAAGTTAAATGATTAAATGTGTACAAAAAAAAGTTGCCTAAACGTGAACAAGACGAAAAAGTAATTACCATCGCAAGTCATTCTCTCTTTAAGTAATTGTTTTGTTGAAGTTGTATATTTTTGCTAGAATACGAGACAACTCTTTTATAACTCACATAAGTTTCAACATTTTTTTCTTTTTGCATGTAGAGTTTATAGTAATTGTTCCCTCTTTAAATTGAAATGAACAAATTATTGAAATCGTTCTTATGGTTTGATCAAAATTATGTGTTTTATGGTAACTTTTTTTTTGCACTTTGACCATCCTCAAAGTATAATTTTATTGTGTTTTATGTCCCTATTCTATCTAAAAAGACTATAGTGCCATATCTATTTATTTTTTACTTATTTTTTATTATTAGTTTTATATTTTTTTTTAAAAAAATAAAATGAGCCCATCCCCACCCCCTTTGTCTACTTACATCTTTGAAGCCACCATTCCACTGAACTGACCATTCACCACCAATACCATTCTTTTACTCACCCCTAAGACTTATCGCCACCATCTCCAGTAGGACCAGAACGCCGACGAATACCACACGCTATCAACCGCCACCCCATACCCACCTCCATCATCTCTACCCCTTAAACCAATAAACCCTCATCAGTAACCTAACACTCACCCCCACTGTGCTTTTTTTCCCTCTCGTTCCTCTATTGGATAGCTAACAGAGAACTCAATTCGAAAATCGGAGATTTGCAATATAAGACCTGGAACTCCAATAAAAAATCTTCACTGAATCTATATCCTAAATCTCCCACCACCATCATCATCTTATTGAAATTAGAGCCACCATCACCATCATGTTACTGAATCAGATGAGTATCTAAAATAGGAGGCACCACCACTATAAGTGGAGCACCATATCGGAGAATGAGAAAAACGGACCCGCCTCGGCGGTTGTTTCCTTTCACGAGCGCCATCATGCCTTTAAAGACATTCCATTCACCACTATCTCCTTCACTGCAATTCCGACCACCATCATCTCCATCACAAAACTTCGAAATTAGACTGCTAAATCAAAATTTGCAAAGAACATCGTTCTCTTTAACCCCAAATCAATACAACAGTAAACAAATAATAAAAAACTGAAAAAGGAAATACAAAGGACAATATAGTTTTTTTCATTTTTATGATGGACGAAAAACGCAATAAAATCATAACTTAGGGATGGTCGGAGTGCAAAAAAAAAAACTTAGGGACCAAAGTAGTAATTTTTACCGAACCATAAAGACAATTTCATTAATTTGTTCATTTGAAATGGTACCTGGTTTTGAACGTTTTAACCAAATCCAATAATATACTGATAATTAGGCTCATTACAAAGAAAGATACTGGATAGACCGTTAACCCGCTGTTTTTTATTTTTTTTTATATCGAATGAAAACAATTGTATACATTAGAGATGAAAATAGGGTCGAGGAGTGTCCATCCCACGGGGAATTATATATTTCTTTTATATTTTAATACGAAAATTTTTATATAAATAAAGACTCTACAATTTAATTTTACCAACACAAGTTTAAAGATTTTATAAAACATAAAAACATTACATAAAAATTATATTTTTTTATCTGTATTTAGATACGTATATGGAAAATCGAGTAGCTTTAGCTATAACAAATTGTATGATATAATTGAATATACTATAACATGGAGTCATGGACATAATGTTTCAATGAATATAAAGTGATGTTTTTATTATATGTGATACAATGTTAAATTAGATAAATATATAAGAAAAACTATAATTTCAACCAAGTAATTAATGAGTAGGGATACTTAGATCAAATTTTAGATATTTTAAAATTTACAATAACTATATATATTTGTGTTATTTTATATATTAATATCTATCCGATGTCAGCATCCTCGTCCTTTCCCCATCCCTATCAACTTTAGGATTCCCTATGTCAAACCAGGTAGCCTAGTGGATATGTGGTTTGAAGGATATTTAACTTAGCTTGTTAATGAAAATTATAAGATAATGCAGGTAAACCTATTTATGACTAAAATTAGTCCAAACTTTCACCTTTGCTTTGATATTGTTTATAAGGTACTTTTTTCTCTTTTTTGAGTGTTGTGTGGATAAAATGACTCATGGTGACATTTATATATGGATAAAGTGTTTCATATATAATTTTTTTTTTTAATACCGAACCATTGAAAGAAAGCGAATGATCATATTACGGTTGCATACCAACAAATAATTTTCATAAAAAAAATAATAATAATAATAGCAAACATGTAAAGGGTTGGTGTGTTAATACAACAAGCCAACCTTTTTGGCTTAATTCATCAAGTCATTGTCCATTTTGAGTAAAAAAGAAACAATCTTTATAACTGGCCATATTACGCACTTAACCATTAAGTCAATTAAACCCGCTAAGATGATGCTATCAAATCTACACTATGACTCGTGTCAGATATAATCAAACCATCAACATGTGTGTAAATGGTTCAAGACATATATAATCATATAATAGAGAATTAGTCCAAACCCATCCAAAAAACAAAGGGAATATTGATCCGATAAACTATATATGTGTATTTCTGTAAAGAAATGACGACTTAGTAACCTAACAAAGAAATGACTTGATAACTTAACAAAGAATCCCACATGACACATAATACATCATGGAAGAAAGATCTTCACACAACACCAATACAAAATGATTTCCAATGTGTAACTGAGCACATATTACTAGACCTAACAACATGTTAAACAGAATGAGCAGCTATATGACTAGACTCGAGAAACAACAATATCCTAAAACACACACAATGAACATTTCATAAAGAAACACAGAAGATATCCTAGAAAAAAAAAATCATGCAACTACACATTAAGCAGGCTTTATATGAAAACACAGATACATTCTTGGATGATGAAAAATGAAACCCCCAAAATCTACAGGAATTACAACATAATTAATACAAAACTGGCTTTCCTTTCCTAATGAAGAATACAACAAAACAAAGTCCACTATCACTAATCACTATGTTACAATGTTACATTGAAAATCTAAAAAGCTACATATAGCATGCAATTGCAGAAGCACCCTTTTAAAATACAGAAGCAACTGGCGAAAGCATAAAGACAAACCTATAAGTAACAACTAGCATATCATCTCTCTCTAGTCTCTCTCTACACATGGACATTACATCTCCGTTTTGGAGCTTTACAGAGAGCACAAGAGGGCATAAATTACAATGCAAGTTACAACCAAATAGAAGAATGGAATGGGTGACATACCCAATACTATTGCTACATGTCCTATCCTAGATAACGTAAAACACATGCTTCTAAATGACACCATAACAATGCAACAAAAATGAGATGCTTTTACTTTTTACAACACAATACAATACAATATATAATATGTATATATGTTAACGATATACATAGAAACCAATCATTCAATCAAGTCAGCTTCGTCCAGGTCAAACACACAAACCAAAGGAAGGCTTTCTGCCATTTCTGTTCCCTGAATACCATTAATGACAAAAGCACCCAAAGTTAAATATATTTATATTAAGAGTTTATTTAATTTTTAGAACTATCTATCCTCCACAATTAATATCCTCTGTTAACAAATAATGTATAACAAAATTAACATTAACAACAGTTTGAGTTTTCAAGTATTTCGAGAGAAGAGAAAGAAGGTCACACGCCCTAAGATCGAGATCGAGAGAGGTTTAGGCAGGACTATAAGTATAAGTAACACCACCCCATAAAGAATATAGGTCGGTATCATAGGGGTCTTATATGTCCAAACCAAATTTAAGACCAAAAAAATTCACACAAGAAAAAAAAAACTACAAATGTAAATGTATTTTTTCAGCACAATAAGGATATAATTAAAGCAAGCAAACGCGTCCCTCCAAATGTCATGTAGAACTTACTTTTCAATCAGCCGAGTGAGTTTGAAGAATGACGTAACTGCCCTCCACTCCATTCCACCACTGTCCCTGTCACTGTCACTATCACATCAATCTGTCCGCATACGTCTGCGCTTCCCGTAATCCGCATCCCTTGACCGGGACCGATGATGATCCTCTTCTGGGGCTGCCCGAGATCGGCTCCTTGACCGGGTGGAAGACTGCCCGCGATCCCAATCATCTTCACGCTCCTTCTGTCGATGATGATGTTCCCTATAACTATTATTATTATTATTAGTAGTATCTTTTTCCTCTTTATATTTATAATCTTTTTCATAATCTCTCTCCTCACGATGCCTTTTTTCAGAACTCCCAGACCATTCACGTTCACGCTCACGTTCAGAACCTCTCTCCTTTTCTCTCCCGGGATTTGACCGTTGCGCCCCTTTCTCATGACCCGTATCCGTATACCCGTATTCCGACCCGCCATCTTCACCTCCATAGCTTGACTCTCTAGTCCTTTGACCATGCTCTTCTCCTCCTCCTCCTCCCCATTGACCACCCATCCCGGTGTCCCCCCACATCCCCCCTTGTGGGCCCTCCATCCCCCCACCACCACCACCCATCATTCCCCCCATCCCCCGCCCGAAAAAAGCAGGGTTCACATGCGGTGCCACCCCAGCAATCCCCATCCCGGGAAAATTCGGCATCATCCCTGGGAAACCACCGCCCGGAAACCCGCCGTACCCGCCGCCACGACCCATATAAGCCGGGTCAAACCCGCCCCCCATCATACCTTGCGGATGCATGAACCCACCCGGAGGACCCGCGAAACCGGGACCTGCATACCCAAAACCAGGACCCGCGTTCACATTCTTCGGCCCCATCCCCCCTCTACCCCTCATATTCCCAACACCCCTCCCCACCCCCTGCCCTCCTCGCCCCCAGTTTCCTCTTCCAAAATTCCTCCCGGAATCTCCACCGGAAAAGTTCGCTCCACCACCACCAGCGCCGCCGCCGCCACCAGCACCAGCGCCGCGTCCTCCTCCATCATTCATCGGTCTCCTCCCTGCTTCTTGAGATTGAACCGGTCCTTGATTTTTATTCGCGTAAGCAGCGCCCATTTGTCTAATAGTTTGTGGGGACGCGAACGCCACCACACAAGGTCTTCCATTGAAAAGATAACCATTCATTCCTTCTTTACAAGCTGCAGCAGATGACGACTCATGAAACTCAACCTGACAATACCCTTTTGATTTCCCACTCGCGCGTTCATCAAAAAACTTTATCTCCTTCACTCTTCCATATTGTGACAACACGTTTTCCAGCTCAGCATCTGTCGTCCACCAGTGTAGCTCACCAACAAACAGGGTGGTAGCACCGGTTTCGCCAGGTGGACGGGCTTGATTATCGGTGATGACAGGTCGTGTCACGTTCATCTGATGACCTGGATTGGAATTTACCATAGGTGGAGGAGGTTCATTTGTGATGTTAACAGGATCCACAGGGATCTTTTGGGGCCCACGAAAACCCATCTGGACATCATTACTCACTTGAGGAAGTGGGGCCATTCTTTTTTGTAAAAGATCAACAGTCATACCTTCTTTTGGATACACGCTTTCATTTGCAACACCAGGTATGTTCATGTTTATGTTTGTGTTTGAGTTTGTGTTTGTGTTTGTGTTTAGATCTTGAGACACCATGGCTTCAGATCGAGGTTCTTGAACATTAACTTTTTGATCATGGAAGCCTCCATTTCCTATGTTTGTAGATGGTAGTGCTTCGGATCTTTGCATTTGTAAAAAACCTTCTCCAACATTAACATCATTGTAAAGATCATCATATTCATCATCTTCACCTCCGATTTCATCATCTGCAAGTGCAGGAATTGCTCCATCTCCATGATACTGCATCTTTTGAGACCCTCCAAATTCTTCATCTCCATAATCTAATTGCTCTTCGGCCATTAAGTCAACACCCCGTCAAGATCAATGAGATAAACCACAAATTACCTGTATATGTAAGATGTTAAAATCTAACCAATAAAAGAAGATATGTCATCTTATAACTTCTAATTCATTCATGAAATAAAAGAGATTAGTCTTGAGCCTTGCAGGGTTATATGGAGCAAATAGTGTTTTTTTTTTTTTTTTTTTTTTTTTTTTTTTTTTTTTTCTCAAACAGCTACAAGACTTGGTCTTTACTAACAAATTTTAGCGTTACTTTCTAAATAAATTAATTGTAGGCTTTCCCTTCCTGATTCTCCCTATTATTCTTGATAAAAGTCAAAGAATCTTTCCACTTCTTATTCCCATGTATCCATGGTCAACAGTTCAAAATACATTCAACACCACGCAGTGGGAGATTTCAGAAATCGAAGTCCCTAGTTGTTAAAGAAGCATTTTGTTAGAAACAATAGGAAAATGGTGTAATTGGATGTTGCTAGAACAATCTAAAAGTGTGATTGATCATCCTTCTTGTTGTCATATTGTAAGATAATGAAAAGAACATCAAAAGTTCAATATGTTTTGCCTTCTCTTTCTGGAACAGACTACAGAGGAGTAATGAAAATGAACTCAAATATCTACGAATTTCAAAAGTCAAAACCTAACAAAAGTTTCATCGTATACAAAAGAGATCTAAGGCCCGGAGACACAAAAAAAAACTGATCTTTCTAATCATGATTGTTTCAGTTCCACCAAACCAAGTTACAGACAAAAATCTCTAAATACGCAGCTCATTTTAACACGAAACAAGCACAAACATGAAAAAAAAAAACTAACCTAATCTCATAGTTTGACAAGTGGGAAGCAGCTATACATCAAATCAAATTTAAAAGATCAACAACGGTTCAATATAGAACAAAAAAACAATCAGATCGAAGCTCGATCGATGCAAAAAACGACAGGAAGTGCCAAAATAAACAGGAAAATGGCGACAAAAAGGAAGAAAGATGCATACCCGTTTTAGGTTTTTTGAGAGGAGATTAGAGTTCACACAAATTGCTCCTGTTAACAAATGAAAATCTGTATCTCTCTCGGTCTTTCTCGTTGTCTATCTACAGTGGGTGATCTTCAAAGCAAAATCACGATCTTATCTTTCTACAGCTTTGATAAAATTATAATAATGGAAAAACCGTATACCTAAATTGTTATTTTGTTTCGCCCCTTTCCGTCCCCGGCCCATTAATACGTCTTAACTTTCCATCAATACATATGTACTAAAATGTTATTTTAAAATTTTTTTATTCCATCATCTAATAAATAAAAAATCATAACTCAACAAAAGTATTTGAGAATATTAGTTTTTTAATATATATATATATATATATATATATATATATATATATATATATATATATATATATATATATATATATATATATATATATATATAAATTAAATTATCTCATACCTTTTATGTTTACAAATATTCCTACTCACTAAAATAATGACAAATCATCATTCAATTAAAACTTTTTATTATTGGTAATAGTGTATCTCGTGGGATGGCTGAATTCCAACACGACAGTTCAGCCCCAAATCGCAAGTTAGAATTTTTAGATTAGGCGCCACATAGCCCGCCATAAATGTCATATACATTTAAATAAAGCTCCAGAGGATATAACAAGGAATCATGTCCACCTTTCATTCATTAAAGCATAATATACAAACATGCCAAAAATAAGTTGTATCAAAAACCTTTTAGAACAATGCACATCTCTAATCAACACTATCAATAAGATCCTCATGAAAGATTTTAGAAAGACATTACACTATTATCTTTCTCTCACACACTCTCTATAGTATCTGTATTCTAACGTATGTGTCATAGCAGTCTGATGGTCATCTTAGATTGCAGTTAACCATTTTCTCTTTCTGATCACAAGTCTCGGAGATATAAACCTCTAAAAATGGAAATATATAAACCCATAGCCCATCAAGACTCACAACCCAGGCCCAAGCCAAAAACCAATCAAGCCCAAAACTAAAACATCCATAAAGGTTCATCAATGGCCTAATATTCCAAATTGGTCCTAATCCCATATGGGTCTTATCCTAAGCTCATATTTTCCTTAAATACACTTCAGAATATCACAAACATCCATTGGGACAAACTTGGTCAAATAATAAGTCAAAAGTCAAAGTCAAAGTCAATGTCAATGGTCCAGGTGACCTAACTCGCCGAGCTTTATCATTTAACTCGTCGAGTTCCTCTGACGATCACAAAGTCTAGAAGAACCTGGTCCAACTCGCCGAAGAATGTTGTAGAGGCCACTAGGTCATATTAACATGGTTATATAAAACTCACAATAATATCAATTAAAACATGGTTTACGGGATTAACACTACTTCAAAGGTTTTATTTTAAATAATGAAACAATATTACACTATTTACACTACAGTTGGTGGATTCCAGACACTATTTACTCATCCGATGAAGAACAACTCCTCAAGCTCTCGATTCAAAAACAACCCCACTTATCTGGAGTCCGAAGTCTAAAATCTCAATGGTCTGACTCCCTGCCAGCCCTCTCATACCGAACTGCCACCAAACCGACCTTATAGAGTCTTATACCACACAAGGCTTCTAATCCCTAATCACATTGTCACCTCGAAAGAGACAAAATCACTGTCCATATTCCGCTACAAAACACTTAAACTCGACAGAGGCTCAGATAATCCTTAAAGTAGGAGATTCATCCCTGCAACGGTTAGACTCAGACAAAAGTTGTGCAACAAGGTCAAATCAATTACTCTGAGATTATTTAATCCAACTACATGTGACTTAGCATCTTCCTGTCCACAAGATTCTCTACGTAAAATTCCTAATCATTGTTGTTATCCGGAATGTTGGATTCCTACCCGGTTGCTGAGCCAAAGAGTAACCTCACAGTCGCTCCCCACGACTTCTGGAGAGAACTTCGGCTATTGAAATATGCCCTAACCATATTGCCACTCATGGCTCCATTATTCCTTATGATATTCCCGATCATAACAGTCCGACTACCTGTCGCCACCATATCTAATACAATAAGTGAATGCTACCAGAACCATTGTAGTCTTACATCACGCCTAATCTCCGACGACCTACCGTTTCCCGAATCCGATCATACTGTGGCCTACTCACATTCGTGCGGCTGACCCGCCCTTGCCTAAATCATCTAAAGGAAACCGTGAGTGAATCACCAATCTATCACATTATCACTGTCGAATAAGGACCATGAATGTTACGGGCCACCCCACAGTCTTACAACACTCCCATACTAACTGACCACTAGTGAATGCTACGGGCCACCCCGCAGTCCTACTGTACCACTATACTAACAACTAACTAAAGAATGTTATGGTCCACCCTTTAGTCTTACAACATTTATACTCTATCTGCCAACTAGTGAATGCTACGTGCCACCCTGCAGTCTTACAACACTTCTACTTTACCTGCTAACTAGTGAATGCTACGGGCCACCCTGCGGTCTTACAACACTTCTACTCTACATGCTAACTACTGAATGTTACGGGCCACCCCGCAGTCTTACAACACTTATACTTTATATGCTAACTAGTGAATGTTACGGGCCACCCCACAGTCTTACAACACTTCTACACTATCTGCTGACTAATACTATGGGCCACCCCGCAGTATTACCACATTTCTCATGCTATCTGGTTGCTAGTGAATGCTACGACTATCCCACAGTCTTACAACACTTTCCACATTGTTTGTCCACTGGTGAATGCTACGACTATCCCGCAGTCTTACAACACTTTCCACGTTGTCTCATCTGTTGACCATGGTCTTATCGTCCATTACCAATCCAAACACATCTAAAATCGAGCACTCACACGGTCTAACATCCCACACTGAACTCATGTCATGACTAAGATCCTCAACCTGGTTCCCCATGGTCTGCTACACATCAATCAGATGTGGTCCCAAAGTCTGGAAGTTTCCCAAACTTCCAATTCACACTATCCTCCATCCAGGCAGCCACTTGGGCCACCCTTCCTTTCCTGATATGGATACGAGCTCATCCTAATTTGACACTTGCTTCTGTCCTGGGTACTTGAATGGTTTTCCCACACTTCTACCCGACTAAGTCTCCATGACATACGAGAAATAAAAGGATTCCCGATCCTTCCTACCTTCCAATGATCAATCTGCAGACAATCGGCGCTTACCAATGCTAGCGATTCATTACTAGTTAAACTTACAAGACCATACAACCTATGAAGATTAGATGAACACTTTCTGAATCCCAATAATACTGATAACTCCAGATGCCTTGAAATGATATCGTACTCAGAGCAAAATTTTGGTAATAGACCACTTCCCTTGGTCTATTGCTATCGTTTGATCGAGTCTATGGTCTATTGCCAACTGGATCTGGAAATTTTGTGTGTTCAGATTTCTAAACGTTTAATCACGGTACTAAAAGTGGCATGTAACTTTTTAGAGTAACAAGGAGGATTACGCGTCTAAACCTTCCTCTATCTATATTATCGTCTCGATACACTGAACACCTGCTTTGGTGTATATAATGTCATGATAAGCACTTGTAGCGGACTGAGTGAATAGAGGAAATAAGAAGGCTTACGATAGTGAATGATACATATCAGAAGATACCGTAAGAGAGGTATCTTGCTTTTAGAATATGTCTAATAAATAATACGTCTAGTACTGGAGAAGTACACTTTCGAGTGTCATAAAGAAAGAATTTTTGGTATAATCCATAAAGTTATCCCATTGTTCGGAATTCCACCACCGTAGGTGGCTCCTAGCAAATATGTATGAAAGACCAGGGTTCCGACCCTGGCAGTTAAGTAGATAGTTAATGGTAATTGTATGCTAGATGCCTTTGTGATGCTTGAATGGAAGACCCGTAGGTGGCTCCTGACACTTGTCTGTGAGACCCAGGGTGTTTGGCCCCGACCTGACAAGGAAAGACCATGATCTAGCTCGTGGA